GATGGAGGAAAACACCACCTGTGCTCCTGATCCTTCAAGCAATTGCCCTAGCTCTCTAAAGTCCCTTTTGATTGTCTTGATGCCACTATCAGCTATCTCATCACTGCTGACTTGAACAACCACTTATTAGTGGATAATAATCGGAAGCTTTTACCAGTCTGGGGAGCTTCCTGGTAACGTTTCTTATCCTTGCACCAGGGAGGCAGCAGACTTCCTTATGGGATGGGTCCGGTCGGCAGATCAGGCTCTCTGTTCCCCTCAGAAGGGAGTCACCTACGACAATTACCCTTCTTTTTCTCTTGCCGATGGCCGTTGTAATGCGTGGGGCTGACTGCTTCCCCCCAGTCAACCCTTTGGATGGATCCCTGTCTGTATCTTCATCCTCCTGGCCCTCAGGTTCCAGAGCCTCATACCTGTTGTGTAAGGGCACCTGGAGGGGTGAGGTGGGCCGGGAGAGGATTCGCCTGCTTGCGCCAAGCTGGGATCTGCATCCATCCTTCTCCTTCTCTTGGGTCCCCTCCTGTACTGTACAAGGGCAGAGGACCCTCTCCCTCACGTGATGCTTCCGTCTGGCATGGTCGTCTCAGGGATGGTAAGGACTGGCTCCACCAGTCTATCTCCCTCTCGCACTCCCTGATACTCCTCAGTCTTGCAACTTCTTCTTTCAGCTCTGCCATCATGCTAAGCAGATCCTCCACCTGCTTGCACCTCACGCAGGTGTTGTCTCGGCAGTACCCTGTCACCAGAGCAAGGCTCTGGCACTCCCTGCAGCCAGAGACCTGGGTGGCTGCATGTTTGAGTGGGAGCTCCATCTGCATCACCACATCCCTTCTGGGGGAGAAGAAAAGGCTTATGGGGGATGTCATCAATACCTGAGGGGAGGGTGCAAAGAGGACAGAGCCAGGCTCTTTCCAGTGGTGCCCAGTAACAGAACGACAGGCAGTGGGCACAAACTGAAACACAGGAGGTTCTCTCTGAACATCAGGAAACGCTTTTTCACTGTGAGGGTGACTGAGCACTGGAGCATGTTGACCAGAGAGGTCATTTCCACCAGAGAGGTGGACTTTCCATCCTTGGAGATCTTCCAAAGCTGTCTGGTCATGCTCCTGGGCACCTGGTTCTGGGTGGCCATGCTTGGGCAGAGTAGTTGGACCAGATGACCTCCAGAAGTCCCTTCCAGTCTCAGCCACTCTGTGATTCTGTGAGTGATGACAGCAGTGCTTGAGGCAAGGGGAGTGTTTGATTTCTGTCATTTTTCCCCTGAAACCCTAGATTCAGCTTTACCTTTAGAAGAAATCATTCTACTTCTTTGCTTTCCTCCTTACCTCAGTGTTTTGGGCTTTTTTGGCTGCACAGCAGTTCAGCTTCAAAGAACAAGCCAAAGAGAGATGCCTTCCCTTGCCTTTGCAGAGTGTCCTCAGGTCTGGTGCTTGGGCTGCTTAGCTGGGATAAAAACAATGTGACTTCACCCTCTTTCAGGTGGATGATGACCTGGGACCGTTGCCCACTTCTGAACAATTGTTTTATTAGGTGGTGATGCCTAAGAGATGCAGATCAATCCTCCTCCTACAACAGCCTTCCTTGTCAAAAGAATTCACTCTGCTAAGTAAATCTGCTCAGAAGATGGCTAGGCAGGCTGGATTTCAAGTTGATGTAGATATATTTCTTACCAATTCTTTACACGGTCCTTGGAAGGTAAATTACGTAGGTGGATTAGACTGCCCTCAGAAGGATTTCAGGTGCATGTACCTCTTTATTCTTTATAGGAAATGTATACACATTTCTTAGGAAAACTGCAGCAAATTTCTCCTGTCTTTACTTGAAGTATATTATTTTTGTTTTTATTTAATGACAGCATTTCCTGCCCATAGGTGCTGAAGAGGAAATGTTCAACTGTTTGATTTGGATGTTTGTCCTGCTCTGCAGCTCTATAGCAGGTATGTTTCTTGACTATTAGCACCTGTCTTGCCATAAGAAAGTTTTCCAAAAGGTGACCCTCCCCAAATGAAATTTAAGAGTTCTGAAAGTGAAAAAAATTGATTTTAAAAATAGAAGTTTGATAGTAGGTGATTGACTAAGTAGTGTACAGTATAGAGAGAAAAATTAGCTTATGGCACTCTTGATGTCCTCTTGTGGAATGTTGATTGTGATCATGATAGCCGGGATTTTTCTTTTGTATTTAAAGTATTTTAAGAGAAGTATTTTAAAACTTACTTTGTTAACTGTTTCCCTGTTACACAAGATATAGAAGGGGAAGCTGCATCTGGAAGTCATATCATAGTTCAATTCTTGTTGGGTTGTAAAGGCTGGTAACTTTGGAGAGCTGCTGATGGAACAAATTAATGTTTTTGTAACTACATGAACACTTAAAATGCAGTTAATGTCCGCTGGTTTTGGACTGGTTTAAGTCAAATATTGCCTATTCAGAAATACATGCAATGACTACTAATGTTCTCATTCCTAATTTTAAAAGCCACCTCACAATGTGTGACTGTTGATTTTTATTTATTTTTTTTTTTTAAATGTGGTATTTCCAGAGTCAGTTTAAGCTGGCATGGGTAACTGCTGAAGTTGGCACAGCAGGCAGGTCTGCACTCCCTCTGCCTCTCATCTCCGTCTCCTTCTGTTGGAGTTTGTGTGGCTAGTGGTGAAGCCATGAGGAGTCTCATCTGGATGGAGATTGATGTTATGTTTTGCCAAGCTTTTATTTTTTGTTTGTATCAGTTTCCTTTTGGTTCACTATGCAGGCACTTCGTCTGGCACACAAAAGGGATAACAGCAGTGAAGGAGTGGTCGAGGATTAAAAATGCTTCTTGTGACAACAGTGCCAGTTTAAACTGATTAAGTTGAATAGTATAGGTTAGAACAGGAAATCACAAGGACAGATTGAAATAATGACTTTGTGACAATAATTGAAAGTTCACGTGCAATTTATCACATACAACTTAACATGCAACAGTAATTTGTTATATAATGGTATTTGTGTCTTAAATTGTTTGGGGATTACATGGAAGAGGAGTGCACGTGTTTGCAGAAGCTTGAAGGATATATGAAACAGTGCAGGTAATTGCTTACAACTGATACACAGTAAAATTTGTGCAGCAGAGTGTAAAACAGCCATTAGTATGACTTTGAAACATAAAGAAATTACTTTGAAACAAAAAGGACACAAAAAGAAACATAGAAAGCAATTTACAGTTAATACATCCAAAAAGGAGAGAATGACCAGAAAACAAGGAAGAAAGTTTAATATTTGATTCCGTTTCATTCCTACAGTCTAGCAAAGAAATTCTATCTGTAAAAGTTGGGGCTTTTTTATTTTATTTAACAGATTTATTTATGAAATGTGGCTTCAAAAATAAGTAGCAGCAAAAAAATAAACAGCTAGCTCCTTGCAGGACTCTAATGGGTGATTCTTGCACTGTTTGATAACTTTGTTGCTGAATTCATTCATTCAGCCTGCTTCTGTGTTTTCCTTTTACATGCATTTTGTGTATAATTCTTGCACTGTATCTGGGAATATAAATGCTATGAGGGGTAAAAGTACTAATGAGATACTGAAGTATATTGCAGCTTAGTTGTAAATTTTAAACTTACCAGCTTGATGTATTTTCTGATAACTAGTAATGGTAACATCTAAATGATATGCATACCTTTTACATATAGGAATGTTTTTTAAAAACAGATTTAAAAAACAAAACTCTTTTCTTCATTTTCAACTATTAAAAAACATTTGAGTTGACATTTCTCCATTATTTCTGGGAAGATATCGAAACGTCATTCTTATATAGCACCTATGGTGCAGTTCATGTGAACTAAGTTTCCAAACAGCAATATCTGATTCGAGTGACTAACTAAGTGTCTTATTTGAACTCTGTATGAAAAAAACCTAATTAAATTCTCTGTAGACAACAAAATAAGTTATTGTTTTTCCACTGGTATTTTAAAAGGAATTAGGTTATGTGATACCTTTGATTTTGCTTTTAGATGAAAACTCTATCAGAGATGCTGACATTTTTCCTTCATCTCCTGAAATTGAAAGAGGATCCACCCTGAAACTATTTTGTGTTCTCGGAAAACGATACACGCCTCACAGAAACGCAAGCCACATCATTTGGAAATTGAATCATGAATTGATTGCTCAGGAAAACTATAACATTGTGAACGAGACTGTATCTAGTATAACCATCCATAATTTCACTTACAGCAAAGCTCATGTGAAATGTTTCACTAAGTACTTGGGCAAGGAACAACTTTTGGTTCACACTGAAGTTAAATCTGGCTGTAAGTAGAAATGCAGAAAAATTAATTTTAACATTTTTTAATAACTTACTGTAAAAAATTTACTTTTAAAACAACTACTTTTTTTTTTTAGTTTGTGGCATTGTAAGACACCTGTATTCAAGTATCTCCTTTTTTTTTTTTTTCTGAAATAAAGCATGAAATTGCAGGCATTCTTTACTGACACTGGTCCATAACCTCTCTGACTCTGACTTTTGGCCAGCTGAAGCGAGAGGAGGTTTTCTGCTGAGCTCAGAGGGTACTGAGCCTGTCCCTTTGGTTAATGTCTTTTGTCTAGCCTAGCCAACTTTATCTTTCTCCAGGGAAGACTTCCTTATCTAATCTCTTATGGAGAAGGTTACAGGATAAATATGTATACACATTCTCTAATTTAGTGAACAGATTAAGTCCAGATTTTACTAACGTGTGCCTGGCGGTCCCATTCTAGTAAAGAAGCAATAAATGCAGAAAAATACATCTGTGGAATAAAAACCAGCAGAAGGTATTGCCTGTCTGCAAAGTTTACTGTCCCATAAGCTTGTCAATAAAAGAAAGATCTTTTGAGTGTTATATTAGGTGGGACAGAAAAGTACTATTTTGGAGAGAGGGCTTTTTCAACCAGTTTATTTCACTGGGTGCAGTTCTCTTCTTGTCAGCTCCGATTTCCCTCCAGTGAAGAAGTCTGGCTTTAACAAAGAAGTCTTTGGGGGCGTTACATTTTTATGGATGACTTCAGACTATAGAGATTGCAGAGGATAGTTTCCTTTGTGCTATCTTGCTTGCAAGATAAAGAGAGTCCAGAATTAGCGATCTCTTCAAGGTCATATAGATACGTTTCCAAGGAAGTTATCTTCTGCACCCTGAGGTCGTGCAGGCTCCTCAGATTAGGGGTTTTCATAGGGTATGTGGTTAGACATTCTGGGAAGGAACCATGAGGAGTTTTATCTTTCAGAGAATACCTTTTCCTGAACTTTTGTGCTGTTTCTTTGTTTTCCTCTTACTCTTTGGAGTGGCCTTGAGCTACAGGCATGTTTTGGGGGAATACTTTCTGATTCGGGACAATGTATGTAGTCGTTAATGAGTTACTGCAAAAATACCTTCAAGCCCGCTTAGTTAAGTATTTCTGAGAAGCAGTTGGAGAAGTCTCTCTGCGTCCCCAGGGGAAGAAAGAGTGGTTTTGATTTTGGTTTTGTGAGGAGTTTTGAGGGCAGTAAGAAATTATAAAATGAAGTGCTATGCAAGACATTTAGTGCAGTTTGCCATAATCTGCTTTTTGACCAACAAAACCAGTTGTACTGCTTAAAAGTTACTTATTTTTACTGCCCCCCCCCTTTTTTTTTCAACCTTTGTCATTGCAGTTCCACCAGACACACCAGGAAATATTTCCTGCATTTATTACTTTGATGCTGAACTTACCTGCACCTGGACTTCAGGAAGAGAAACAAATCTTTTGACAAACTATACTCTTTACCGAAAACTGTAAGTATAGGATATACTGGGAACTGGGTTGCTGGGTTGAGACCACTAGCCCCCTTCCCCTCATATCCTGACTTTCTGTTTAAAGAAAACCTGGAAACATCATGGAGTTACGGCATTTCCTCAGTAAATTCAATTAATTTGGGGTTGGTAATGATTGAAAAAAGTTACAATCTGATACCTTTTTAGTATGCTGTATAAAGGAAATGAGCATTCTGAACCCAATATTCAGTAGACAGATGTTTACATCAGAATTGATATTCACTTGTTTCCTTGAAGTAACATGACTAATTAGATCAAAAGCTGAGTGAGCCTAGGTACAAATGGAGAATGGAGGCACTTTGTGGGAGTGATACCCAGAAACTTTCTGTGTTAATAACTATTGCCCTTTAAAGTAAAGATTACTTCCTCCTCTACTTGAAACAATTCCCAGTTAAACCTATTAAAGACCCTGTTATTCCGCTTGACGCCAGTATGGTTTAACCTAGGGACCTTTGGAGTCATAAGGTTTCAGTGAAAGAATCCAGAGTTAGTTGTCCTTCTTGCATTGCTCACATCTGGGGATTTGTATTTACAAATACAAATCATGTAGTCTCATACTTTTTAGTGTTTTTGTGACCCCAGTATGGAAGCATAAATACTTGATTCTTTCAAATTCCATTAGATTTTAAATATTGTTTACGAGCTTACTTTTTCACAAGTTACTGTGAAAGTGATGTAATCAGTGTTGTTTCAAGGCAGATCTCAGATACAATTTTGAAGGTGATAGCACAGATTTTTTCACAAATATACTTGTGGATCTGTTGTTCATAATAATGCTGCTTGTAGTGCTCTGCCTAATCAAGACTCTAGGTAATATGAGTTCATGAAGAGTTCTCTAAAATGTCTAAAATTATTCTTGAGAACTGGAAGGAATTCAGACTCCAAAGGAGACACTTTCTTATTGTAAGTTATGCTAGTGTGTGGTATCTTTTTTATTTAAATGGTAGGGCAGGAAAACATCTTTAGTTTTATCTCCATTTCAGGCTTGACATTTTGGGTTTCTACCTTCATTTGGTGGAACTTTCTTGCTCCTTCTAGTGTTTCTATGTTTTATAACTTAGCTGAGTTTGTGAAACCATAAACTAGAACAGCTATTGAAAGTAAGTTTCAATATTGTTCCTTCTTGTACCAGTACAAATTCTTCTTTAACCACACAGTGAATTGGATTGCAGAACTATTTCCAGTAAAATCTAACCGTTAATTTTAATCCAGATAACTCCCCAGCTGAGTTTACCATATGACTACAAAAGCACTGGTAAGGGGGGGGCAGAGAGTGTGAATGGAAACAAACAGCTATGCATGTTAGGGAAGGTAGGACTGCTTCCTTTCGCAGCAGTGCAGGCTTACACTAGCTTAAAAATGTTCATGAAATACCAGCCTCAGAGTGTTTTTTGAGTTACATGAATGATCTGCTTCCTTATTGCATAATATGAAATATTTAACACAGGCCCCATATATGAGTTTTATTTGTTGAAGAATTTCTGTGTGGGTCGGTAAAATGAAACAAATTTTGTTAGTTTTGCATCCGACACTACTTATTATGAAAGTATATGCTGTAAAGACAGCATATTACCAGCATGTTTTTTCAGGAAAACCTGTCATATTTCTTTTACCTTGTAATAGCTTGGAAGTGGTACAATTTGGCTTTTCTTTTTTTCTGTATTTAAAAGATGAATAAAAGCTTGTTATCACACAGTTCCATGTGGCATGTGTTACAAGCTATATCTATCTATTTTTAAAGGAGTTCTTGTGTGGAGTTCCATGATTTCACTTCTCTTTGAGATTTTAATCTAAAATAATAATAGCATATGGATACCGTATTAAGGCATTTTTGATCTTCATTACTGCTTCCGGAAAGTTGTCTTACTAATTGCAATTAAAACTAATTGAGTATGTGCAGGCTATTTATATGCATTTGCAGGAGCAGTGCAATTAGGAAAGAGCATTCATTTGCACAAACATATCATCTAAGGAGATGTTCACTGGTGAAAATGTCCTGCAACCTCAGAAACATTTAAATAATAATTAAATAGTAACGCAACAATCAGTTTGAGTTATTCTAAGAGAATCCACTAATTTCTAGCTCCTTTTATTTTTCTCTTTTGTTTTTTAGGATGACAGAAGGAAGGGTGACTCTTCCAAACGTAGTGGGCTCCTGCCAAAGCAAAACGGAATCATGTTCATTTTATTATCCAGATACTCCATATAGTAGTTCTTTTTGTTTTCAGGTGAAAGCTGAAAATGTTTTGGGTGAAGCCTCATCAGATTGTGTTCCTATACCTATGGAAAAAATAGGTAATAAAAAAAAGAGAGTTATATAAAGATAAAGTAGTGTATGTTGAGCTGACTCCACCCACCCCAATTCTTTTTCCCTCCCTATAGCATACAAGTTAGAGAACTCTGAAACAAATTATGTAATCAAAGTTGGTTTATATAGCAGAAAATAATGAAAAAATAATTTTTCAATATAATAGTTTTGAAACTATTATTTGGATTTCATTTGGTTTTAAATTGGTTTCAGTTTTGAAGTGCCATTTAATTTTAATTGTTAGCTAAAATTATGAAGTCTCTGAAATTACATTTAGGATTTGATAAAATGTTTCATCCTTCCCATTTTTTTTTATCAAGATTCGGATGCTTCCAGTTCGGTTGAAGCAAGTCTCTTGTTATGTTTTAATTGATGGCCTTTCCATGTAAAATTCTTCGACTGGGTTGGTGGTACAGCAGCAATTTTCAGCAGTTTGTTGGTCTTACAGAGAGGTGGTGAAAAATGATAATGTGCTGTATTCATACTATGAAATGTCTTAACTACAACAATATTTTTTTAAGCTAATGTCTGACGTATCCATTATAAATTATTAAGTTTTTAATTATTAACAAGTAAAGGCCATATACTAAAACTTTTTGTCAACCTAAGCAGTACTTGGACTGTACTTTTGTATTTTGAGTGGTACTAGATGTCAGTGCAATATCTGGCTGTAAATGAATAGTGACATTATAATTTCTCCAGGTCCACCCATCATTTACTCTGCTATTGTACTTTCTGGTTAGGAACGTTAAAAACCCACATGTTCTGCAGTTCCCAGGAGCAAGAATAATATTTTGTCTACCTCTTCTCCCTCTGCACTGTGCTGGATTTTCCTCTGTTAATTTTGGTGTAGCTAATCAACAACACTTTTAACCGAGTATTCTTGCTGCAGCACTCTGTCAGCTCTCCAGCCACGTGCTCCTTTATTCCTGGTGTTCAGACCTGCTGTGGCTCCTCATTACTTTCCATATCCTCTGTACCAGCCACCTCTTTTCTCAGTGCTAATCCATTCTTTTCCCATCATCTCCTTCACGCTTCTCTCCCCCTCAAATTCTTTTCAACTGAGTTCTTCCCCCATCTGCAGTTTGGACTTGACTTTGGCATCCCAGCTCCGCTTCGTTTCTCTTCCCTGCTGTTGTCGCTGAGTAGTACTCTTCAGTGCTGACACAGATGAAAGAAATCTGCACATCTGTTTGAGAGTGGCTTTGTTAGCATTAAATCAGTTATGTGTGCAACCTCTCTTATAGATAACTTCCCATATGTAGAGTTATGTCTATAAAATAGACCATCATGTGAATACTCTGATAGGGTGTACGTTATTGGGATAATAATTAAACTTACTGGAATACAAATAGGTGGAGCAATTTTGAACTTTTATAGAAGCATTTTACCCTGTTAATGTTTTTGTTTCTCCATTCTAGAGAAATTTTCCTGTCATACTTTCAGTTAAAAAAATCACTGGTATAAAGCAGATGCTTACAGTAACCTGGAAAATGCCTGAGAAGATTATCTCTTCACAAGATTTCATTTGCAAGGTTCAATACAGAAACTTGTATTCAAACTCTTCGGTAAGCTACATAAATTTTCTTCTGAATGTTAGCTTCTTTGTGACTAATTTCTTAATGTTATAAAAAGCTAAATAGAAAAAAGGCAACAAGTAGTTGGAAATAATGATTGAAACCTTGTTATTTTAGTGGAGCATAATTAAGTATGCATGATCTTAAGATCATTGCTTTGTTGTCTAGGATTAATTGTTCTCTTGCTTTTGATCAATGTCTGTTTTGGTACATACCATACTTCTGACCATATTTCTGTGAAAGGCTAAGGGATGACCCAAAGGCTAAGGGATTATATACACAGTCAGTCAAAATATTTTGTTTTCCTGTCACATTCTGGTGAAGAAAACAGCATTTACTCCTAACCACAATAGTTGAATCAGATTAAGATGGACTAACAATACATTAATTTTGAAGTGAATTAAAGTATAAATTTTGCAAGATGAAAAATAAGGGAAGTTATTTTTCTGAGTTTCTTTCTGATCCTTAAATGGAACTGTTATAGAAAAAAAAAACAACAGTATTTAGTTATTTGCTTCTTTCAGATGGCCTGTTCCAATGCTCCTCAGTGTGGAAGTGATTCTTTTTGCAATCTTACTGTTTCCTTTTCTAAATTTAAGAATGGGCCAGGTTACTTGGTTTGTTTTGTTTTTTTTTTTTTTTGAAGTTCATTAAACTGAGATGTCTGCCTTGACCTTACTATTTTATACTTTAAATGTGTAATTCTGGGAGAGAATAATTCATTAGGGTAACTAATAGTAGTCCTCAGAGCTTTAAAAATGTTCCTGATACTAAAGATGTTTCTAATTAGTATCCTCCTCACGTTCTCATGGCAAGCATCTTTACTGTAGATATGGCACATTAGTTGTTGGATTCAGGATATAATATTCGGGATGATCTGATGGGCAGGATGGCTCAGGTCCACCTGGGATATTAGAAACGGAACTAATATTTATTTGAAAGACCTATTCAAGATGTTTATCCCTTTGGAGTCAAGACACTGATGTCCTTGTGATGCGTACATGCATATGAGATCCTTCCCAAATGTTGAAAACAGTCATGTTTTTGCAGAGTTACAGCATTATTGTGTATTGTGTCTATTTGTCAGCACCTGCATAAAAAATCACCTGTTTACTTTTTCCACCATCAAATACAATCTACATACATTTTCTTCCTCAAACTTACCTGCATTTTTCCACAGACATTCTAGAGGAAAAATAGTAGCCGTGATCAGTAAAGGCAAAAATCCAGTGAGTTTAGTTCTGTAGGATCTTAGACAGGCATGATTCATAGTTTTATCTGTAGCCGGTCCAATGGTAATGGCCAACAAAGACAGCCTCAAACCATCAGTTAGATCAGTTAAAGAGGGGCACGTTTTTTCTGGCGGCCACAACAAAAATGCAAAAAAAAAAAAAAATTGTTTGAGCAAATGACAGATATTTCCTTGACCTTTTAAGCCTTCCTACCAAAACAATCTAAATAGTTTCCTGTGAACTGTTTTTGCTGAGTGAAAAATAGATGACCTATCTTTCTACTTGCATATACTAAATTTCTAATTATAGTTAAATATTGTTAACAGCCTTCTGGCAAGTAACTAAAAGCTACTCTGGGGTGTCTGCAATCCTGTGTCAGGTTCTGCACGAGGTTTTGAAGCCCTTCTTATTGCAGGTTGGCTAAAGAGTCTGTCACCTAGCAGTGTTTTGCAGATCCCTGAATTCATTGTCATGGAAGAAGTTTTCTATGTTTGACAATGAGTTTCTTGAGATCAGAATGGACTAAAATTTTGAGTTTCATTAGGCAGTGCACTTCCCATTATGGTGTTCAAGGGAGTGGGTGTCTGTATTTTGTATTGTTACAGTTTGATTCACTTTCCATTGGAAGGTTCCACGGGTGGAAGACAAGAATTTCTTCACAGGTTTTTGGCCCTGATGTTGTAAATCGACATGACATCACTACTTCAGTTTGGCTCCCAAGAGGGAATCTTCCTTATTCTAAAACTTACCCTTGCTGACCTTCTTAGAATTTAACTAGCTTTAACATTTATTTTAGCGTCTTTCTGTTTCAGTCATCTCAAATTTGACAGGAGGAGAGTTGTTAATTATTGATTAATTTTTGCAATTTGGAAGAGAAGACATTAATGTTGGTGTAGTGATTATGTCAGTCCTTCTGTACACAAACACTTAAATCTTTCTGTAGTTCCTGTTGTTTTCTTCTACTTCCTGTTGTCAGTCCAGCTGAGCTGATTCATCAACTCCAATTCCAATTTTCATGTCTTCTTTCACCTTTTGTTTTGGAACAACAATCTAGCTTCTGACTTCCATCAGTGAGATGTGAGTGGGCTCCTTTTAAGAGAAGGAAATTACTCACCTTGTCATTACTTTTCCAGTAAGATATTGCATCAGTTATTTCATAGAATCATAGCATCATAGAATCGTCAAGGTTGGAAAAGGCCCTTAAGATCATCGAGTCCAACCATTAACCTAACACTGCCAAGTCCATCTATACCATGTCTTCGAGCACCACATCTATCTGTTCTTTAAATACCTTCAGGGATGGAGACTCAACCACCTCCCTGGGCAGCCTGTTCCAATGCTTGACCACCCTCTCGGTGAAGAAGTTTTTCCTAATACCTAACCTAAATCTCCCCTGGCGCAGCTTGAGACCGTTTCCTCTCGTCCTGTCACTCATTACTAGGGAGAAGAGACCGACCCCCACCTCGCTACAACCTCCTTTCAGGTAGTTGTAGAGACCAATAAGGTCTCCCCTCAGCCTCCTCTCTCCAAACTAAACAACCCCAGCTCCCTCAGCCGCTCCTCATAAGACTTGTGCTCCAGACCCTTCACCAGCTTCGTTGCCCTCCTCTGGACACGCTCCAGCACCTCGATGTTCTTCTTGTAGTGAGGGACCCAAAACTGAACACAGTACTCGAGGTGCAGCCTCACCAGTGCCGAGTACAGGGGCACCATCACCTCTCAGTATTTCTCATACTCTTGTCTTCCTTCACTGCTTAAAGGCTTCATCTTCTTTTTTTCTTTTTTTTTTTTTTTTTTCCTTTCCTTCTCTTGGTACCAGAATTTTCTGTGTTTTCATTGGTCTTTTCATTTTAATCATATGCTGATAATCTTTGGGATGGCCTACAGCCATACTGTTACATGGCTAAGAGCTAGAAGTCCCTGTAACTCAGAAAAGAAAAACAAGAAAAGAAAGAAGTACCTAGCTGGCTCACAAGCTGCAGGTGATCAGTGCTTCCACAGGGATGCTTCTGCTGTGAGGTGGAGCTGTATCCAGGACATCATGGTGATACTGGCTTTACCAATACCTGGTTGCTTCCCGGCAGTGGGAGCTGCAGTCATCCAGCACCTCCGGTGCCAGCACGGCTAATCCAGAATCGCGTGAGTGCTACACACGGTTCAAGCCATAGGTCAGTCAGTACAGACCTAATTTTGGCTTGGCTTTCTCAAACCCCAGAGTTTTACGGGAAGAATGAAGATGCTACACAGAAAAATGAAATATGAAACAAGTAATTTTGAGTTTCAGAGGAGTGAGGTGGGAAACGTGAAAACTGCATCCTTTGTGGGTTTTTTAAAAGCTAAGTCATATATCCGCATGCGATTTTATACCACATAATTTTTGTTCATGTATCTGCTTTCAGGAATTTGTCACTGTCCCACTGAATTCAGCAGAGAAAACAGGGTCGTGTAATCTCACAGGTCTGTGGGACTCCACAGAATATTCAGTTGCCATTCAGTGTCGCAGTGTTGTGTCAGTATTCTGGAGTGAATGGAGTAGAGGGAAAACAGCAAGCACAGAAGAGAAAGGTAGGCTAATTATTAAGTTGGTTTTTGGTTATACTTTGGGGCATTAGGATTTAATAATGGAAAACTGTATTTTCAGCATATTATCATTCCATTCAATTGAGAATTCTGTTGTTTAAACAGAATACCTGTATTTTCTTTAAATATAGAAGAGGGAAAACTGAAAGACAAGAGCAAGGAGTGGAGGAGATTTGAAAGGTGATACAAATAACATAGGGCTAAGGAAGAAAGTGGGTGAATAGATGGACGGTGAAGAAAGGAAAAATTAAGAGTGTAGATGGAGAGTGAACATTGCTAAGTAGGATAGTACAAATGTCGTGTAGCAAGTATGTCCAATAAAATGAATTATAAGTAGAGAAATTAAATTGCCTGTTATAAAACAAGGCTAGAAAATCTCCTCTAGAACTTAACAAATAAAAGAAAGCAGAAGGAAACTGATGGAAAGAGAGAAGCTGTACTAATTAGGGAAAAAGGTACATTACACAAGGGAAAACTTTTTAATAAGTTGCTCTCAGACTGTATTTTTGAAACCTTTTGATTTTTCTTACCATATTACACTATCTTTTTAATATAACAACAAATTTCAAGATATTTTTGTCTTTAAACAGCTCCTTCAGAAAAAGTGGATTTGTGGAGGGTTATTGAGTCTTCATACTCAGCTGGAAGTAGATCTGTATGTCTTATGTGGAAGGTATACATTCATTTTGTGAATTGATAATCATATTGGTATCCTGCAGCTGATGTTGCATTGAAGTATTTCAGTGTTTTAGGACATATAACTGCCAGGGGTTTTTGCTGTCATCAGAAAAAAACTTCACTGAACTAAAGCGGAATTGAACAGGCTTTTGTTTACTAAACAGTAGATGAACAGAGTTTTGTAACCTGTGCAGAAAGGAAGGGTTTAATTGCATTCAGATCACTGGAAAATCTGATCGAAAGTCCTTACAACCACTCTTAAATAACACAGCTTACCAAATCTGTGTTTAAATTCATTGTCATCTTCTAGTAGAGTGACTAGAGGCTCTTTGCTTTTCAAATCTCAGTATTTGACTTCTGAACCTTTCCTTCAATGAAATTGTTGCAGCTGACTGTCCTGAAGATGGGACTGAAGAAAGTACCTTGCTTTTCTAAGTATAGTACAATCATTCTGTAATTTGATCTGGACTTTTCAATACAGTATATACTTTTGATTATACAAATAACACTGTGAAACACTTACTACTGCATATTTTTTTAATAGCCATTAAACAGCTTTCCACCTTCTGGGAGAATTCTAGGCTACAAAATACAGTATTTTCCAGAAAACAATGCTCCACTTAAAATGACAAACATCTCTACTAATCAGAAAATTAGTTTGCTTTTAAATGAAGAGGCGTATATAATATCTATTACTGCCTATAACTCTGCTGGAAATTCTCCTGAAGCTGTTTTGAGGATTCCATCAACTGATGAAAAAGGTAAGATTTTTCTCAATATCATGATATATTTTTCTCTTTAACAAAAAAATGATCTTCCTGACATCTATTTAAATTCTGTTATAGCAGAAGTAAAATTGTGCTAAGGACTTTGTCATACATCTATATATATAGAACTGTATTATGTACAAAACTGTGTAGTCCATTACTTTTTACTAGAACAATATTATCTAGTGGTTGTATTTTGCTATCACATACCATGTTTTTGTTATAGATGATCATTGTTGGGGTTTTTGTTTTGAGATATAGTTGTTAAGATATCAGCACTTTCTGATGTCGTATTAGAATTTGTTTTATTACTTTATGAGGATTTTTTGGTTTTGTTTTTTTGACCCAAATAGGGTCCATATAGCTCCCAAATAGGTTTATAGAGTCCCACCTAATTCTGTCATATCCTTCTACTAGGTCATAAAATTGGTTACCACAGGGCATTATTGCAGTGCATTTAACAACATAATTCAAAGATGTGTTTAATAGAAGTCCCTAAGATATGTCAGTGGAAGCAGAGCGAGAAAGATTGTGTTTGTTCTCATTTCATATGCATTCCCAAAGTACCCCATCCCACCCACTGCCAGGGTCAGGAAGCTGGTCTGCTCTAGCACAACAGTTGTGTTCTTTGGCTCTTACACCTAATTCTGATATCTCTGTGGGCCTTATATTGCAACATCGTGCTGCCCACCCATATTCTGGAAGAGAGGTTGCGTTTGACACACTGGAGTCACTTCTCCTACATCAGTTTTTCATGAAATAAGTGCAAGTGTCCCCCTGGAATTGCTCAATGAAATTCCAGTGTAATCAGAAAACTGGATATGTAGGCGTGATGTCATCTTGTCCTGGACATTGCTGACTACCTCTCTATCCACTTCTGTATCCCACAATGAATGTTTTTCTGATTTTTTCCATGCTGTGAGACATACTTTTTTTT